ATATATATATATATATATATATATATATATAGATGGATTGCTATGAAGTTATCTAGATACATGTATAGGCAATTTCATTCACTAATGACTATGCCCTTATTTTTATTAGATAGTAAAATAGATATAGGTTATGAAATTGTAGTCTTCATTGATATTATGACTTTTTAGGATGATCCTTCGTATTTTACTTTTTTCTTTGATACTAGCCGACGATTAAGCTGCTATTTGGCACCAGAAAGATTCTGCACCAGTCAAGAATTGAATTTACATCCAAATCTTCCTGGTGAATTCATGGATGTTTCTAAAGGTCTTACGCATGCAATGGACATTTTTTCGCTGGGCTGTGTTCTTGTCGAACTGTTCACTGAAGGCCAATGCCCATTCACTTATGAGTTGATTGTAAAGTACAAGTACGTTGAACGAAATTTTCACGTTAAATCGTTCATTTTTCTGATTCCTTGTTCTGTATATTTAGATGTATATTATATTTTTAAATTAGACATGCATCTTATGTGGAGGCGCAAATTATCATTCAAAAAATACAAGAGCAAATGCCTAAAGAAATGCGTCGTTTGATTGGTTTGATGCTTCACCGAAACCCTGCTAAAAGACCTAGGGCATCAGTTTTGGTTAGTCTTCTTTCACCACTTTCATGATTTTCATTATAGATTATTTCATGAACTCATAACTATACTCTTATGTTTGAATTAAGTGTCATACTATATATTGCGTAAACATAGTCATTTCTTTACAATGTACTTCAGTTACTGCTGTTCTCTCTTGAAAATATATCGCTTTAGGAGTGAACTGCGTTGTGTAATTTACAAAGTCGTTAAAGAGTTTAAGGAATTGGTTTCTTCAGTTATATCAATTTTTAAAATAAGAATCTTTAGCGCATAAAGTTTTTGGAACATTGAAACAGACCCATTCAATAGTTTTTCATTCAAGAAACTAAAATCTTTCAATTTTTCTATAGTTTATAAGTAATTATTTAAGGCACTAGAAAGAGCTATTTTTCATAGATAAATATTTAACAATTAAGTAGCGTGGAAGATGAAAATTTTTAGCTTCGAAAGTACTCGCTTATGTTTCCATTGATATTCGATCATTTTCTATATGATTATATTAATGCTTTTCGGCCAAAGTATATACCGACAATTGTGTCGCTTGAAGAACCACAGACTGCAGAATTAATGGAATCCGATGATGTTATTGCAAAGTGTATTTTATTGTTTTTATTGGCTACATTCGTTCTATAAATCCTGACATTTCTTTTGGGATTTCTAGTCATTATTTTAGCGTGAGAAAGTATATGTGCATATTGTATAATTCATTCTTGATTTCATTATTACGTATTCTTTTTTCAGACTTTATGATTTTGCTGCCATAAATATTTTCAGTTTCATACAACTGAAAGGATTTGAATTCTTCAGGTTAGTATCTGATCTAGAACCAACTATGGAAAGATTCTCAAAACACTGCTCTGTTGTTGGAAAGTCAAACGGCAAAGTGTCTGCAGTTGTTCTCATTGTTTCATTGATAACATCAAATATGCGCACATTGAGATCCTCATCTGCCAAATTTGTAAGTACATCCCGTATTTGATCAAGATACTTGGCTGATAAAAAAAATTAGTATAAAAATTTTGCTAAAGTCATCTTTATGCTATCAGTTTACAGTATAATCGATGTCAGTGCGTATTTATGGTTTAGTTTTACTGTTGTACGAGCTTACGATATAAATATCAGTATATAAAGAAATTATGCTACATCTAAAAATTATTCTCAAATGTAATTCATTTGTGGACCATATATGACCTCAGTTTTATTTATTTCAAACTATTTTCAGTTCCTTGATACACTAAATTTTTTTTTTTGCTTTAACAATTTTCATTGAAAAAAATGAAGTAACATTTTTTTCAGGATGCTATGAAGTTATTACATGAGTATGCACCACTAACTGACCCATCAGTTATTACTGATCGTATGTTGCCTTACTTGGTTGGTATATAATTCACTGTCCAAAAAACTAATTTTTTTGTAACATGTTTTGTTAGTTTCATGTCTTCATTTTTATAATATCTTCTGAATACAAATCCAAATTGACTCAGATCGATATGCTGTCAGACAGTATGATTCAAGTTAAATGTGAAGCTATCCATTCAGTCACCGTACTACTTTCATCATTTGTCGTTATCCCGCCTAACGAAACTCGATTATTCATAGACTACCTTTTCCCAAAACTTGTAAGCTTCCAATATTTTTTACTTTATTCAAATATCACTAAATATTGTACATGTGTAAAGTCTTCTTTGTTGTGTTCAAAGACTTATGCGATGGTAACCATGTTAACACTTCTAGCATTTAAAGTTTTTATTGTATGATATGGACGTTTCATTTATTTTAGCTAACAGATGGTCTTTCAGAAATTTGTTTCCATAGACAAGAATGATTTGGTTCGGATGACTCTTGCACAGAATTTGGGTGATTTAGCTGAAACTTCTTTCAGGTATGTGTAGTTTATTTATGCTCTTGCTCAGTAGATTATTATAGATAGATCAGCTAATTTTAGATTTATTCATGAAGGTCGCAAAAATTTATCTGATGAATTGTTGGGTGGATCACTGATCACAGAAATGGATGATAGAGAACGAGTAGAGCAACTTGCAAGGCAAGAAATGAGGGCACTTGAACAAACAGTTATTGATATCTTTGTCAATTTATGTGATTCCGATAACAGTGTCAAGGTATTGACCTTGATTTGCAGTAAAGCTAAGATGACAAGTTTGCATATTTTTTGCTTAAAAAATTAGTTGCTCGAAGCTGCATTTTTGAATTATATATTATCTCGCTCTTTTCATGGTTTTGATTTCAGCATAGTATTGTGACGTCGCAGTCGTTGATAAAATTGTGTCATTTTTTTGATCGTCGAAAATGTAAGAATTTTCTTAGGCTGTGTTCATAGTAGTTTTTCAAAGGATCGTATAAAGAATGGACGGGGAATTGCATGAACATTAGAAAATCTTAACAATGATAAAATCTCCAAAAATTTCTTTTCTATCTACAAGATAGCTTTAATTAGCGGAAAAAAATGAACCTACTGATTCAGTTCAGTTTTTGAAGAAAATACTACAGTTTCGAAATCACAGTAGCATTATCAGTTATTTGATTTATTAATGTAAGTGTGTTTGTACTTTTCATAATTGAGAATGAATATAAATGCTACTGATGGAATTACTTTTCAGCTACAGATGTATTACTGTCACATTTGATCACATTTTTAAACGACAAAGTTGATTGGCGTCTCCGAGCGTCGTTTTTTGAATGCTGTCCCATTATCGCTCGTTTCGTTGGTCGTCAAAGTACTTATATTTTGAAATCACTCTTAGAGCAGGTTTACTTTCAATTAATAATTTCAACTCTTCAAAATCCAGTAATCTTATTGCCGTGGTTTCTCCTTGTACATGTTAATTAATATAAAAATAAAGTTAAAATAGTTTCATGAAACGACTCCGGCAATTTAGTGAGTTTCTAAACTACTGTACTTATTTTATTTCTGATATAAGAACAAAAATAGGTTTGATTCATTTTGAACTTGAATAGTGTGATAAATAAATAATGATTGCTTGCTTTGCAGGGTTTACATGATTACGAGGAATTTGTCCAACTGCGAACTTTATATTGTATATGCAGACTTTGTGAACAGGATTTACTAGAAAAACCTGCTGTGTTCCAATTACTTGCTGATATCGTGCCATTTTTAGCACATCCAGTAAGCTCCCATTAATATATTTGCACGAAGATTTCATAAATGGTCCATTTATAAGAATTCTCTGTTGTTCGGAAGTCAGCTTTCACCTTGTACTTTTGTGACTGCAATAACAATCCTGGTCGATCAATAGCCGTAAATTATCAGCTCACATAAATTCTTCTATGATTTCAGAATGAGTATCTGCGAATGGCAACACTGAATATTTTATGTGAATTAGATGCAAAATTTGGTGTGGCAGATGTTTTATGCAAAATTATGCCTGTAGTTGAACCATTTATAAAAGAGCGATTGATAAGGTTGCGGAACAAGGTAAGCTTTTCCTAATGACAGTTCTCGAAGTGCAAGAATTTGAGTTTATCATCTTTAAGACATGAGAAAAATATTGGTCTATCTCACTGAATTAAGTATCGTAGTTCTTTTTTTTCAAAATAAGAGTTAAGTGATTAGTTAATTGTGATGCTCCTGAATTGTCCTAATCCTTTCTTACAGCTCATATTGAAATTTACAAATTTATTACAAAATTAAGGTAGAGTTGCAAGTCGTAATCATGTTTAACATGAATAGAATCTATTTAATTACATGGAAAGTTTGCATTCGTGATGTAAGGATTTTTCGAATAGTAGTCTATCGTTCATCAGAATTTTTAGATAAAGAGTAACGAAAATATCATACGAATTGAAAGTTATTACAGTTTGTAATTGTTTCTGCCTTAAAACCATATATCCCGCGCTTAATTTGGAATTATGTAGTGAATGTTTCACCCGTCAAATCGTTAATCAGCTTCATAGCTGATAAACAGATGTACATTGCACTAGATGGTGGTTCTGATTCGATGTTTGCGACCAGCCGAAAGTTAATAATTTTTGATAATTTATGCCCAGTTCATTTGCCTACGTTTTCTTCTACTAAGACTACGTGTAGGATTTTAAATCTAAGTTCTTTTTTTCACAATCCCGTACTTCAGGAAGCAAGTATATCTCTTCATCAATGGCAAATGAATCTGCTAGTTAAGTGCTGAAAATTCTGTTTCATATAGCAGTACATTGAAGTTTTCACAATAATTTTTGATAAACGCTATATTTTCCTACTTCGTACTTTGAAGTAAATTAAAGCACAGTAAGATGTATAAATTAGAAAATGAAGATTTTGTTCCAGATATCATCCACTTCCGGCACAGTTGGAATCATGCTTAAAACATTTAGAAAATTTGGGAATGGATTCCAGTATGGAACATAGACTGATTCGATTTGAAAATACCATCACGAAAATGATTGAATTCAGTGGCAGGTTGGATAATTTATGGTTTTCGAACTTTTTTAGGGTCACTTGGGATTTGATTTGTTTTGAAGTCTACATTTATTAGACTTAATTTTCATTCTTCATGTGTTCTTTACTTCGTTTGATTTTTTGGATCTTTTTAATTAGCAAAAAGTGAAGTTAAATTACGGTTTACCTATTTGTTCTACTTTTCGATACTTTGCAGCAATTTTATTGATACGTTAAGCACCATTTAATCTGAGGAGCGCTCATTTTAAGAAATTAGTCATGTTTATTGCTTTCTTCACTTTACTTTCTTATTTATTCAAGAGTATTTATGTTATTTGTGTCGTTGGTAGCAACTCCTTATTTATGTGATCTCAATTTCAGTTTGGGTGCTGCTACCTCAGATCGAAATTATGGTGTCATTGATTTGGCAGGAACAGATGTCAAGTTACAGATATACGATCTTTGCAATGATCAAAAAACAGCATGTATCAAGGTATTTTGTAACCATAATTTTGTATTTCTATATAGGTATTTTATGTAATGTTTTTGCTCACTTTGTGCATTTGTATTTTTAAGTTACTTAGTTTTCCAAAAAAACAGTATTTAAATAGAAGAATTTTGCTAATTTCTGTAGTGTGGTAGTTCTAACTGCAAGTTTTAATACATTGGTTATTACTGCTCAAAGTTAAATGTGGATTAATTGTTGAACAATACTGTGTTAAATAAGTATCGCGCTACCATGCATATGTGTATAGCAGTTTTCATGTATTTATTATAGTTTTTGTTTTATCTGTAGCAGTTGACAAATTTAAGTCATATTTTCAGAATGTTCCGGCAAATGGTCAGTATCCTGTAGAATGGAAAAACATTTATGATGGAATCAGTGCATTTGTGCCAAATTTTATCAGCTCATCAGAATTACTCACAGTTCCAGATACAACACCTGAGGGCGTTTTTTCAACATCCGGATTTTCAAATCTTGGAGGAGACAATTCATCTGGTAATTTTCATGTCTCACTAGTCTATCTCTTGTTATGAAATGAATTTTGATCGAATTTTTTGTAATGAGGTTTCAAAATTACTTCCACGTGACCATCGTATTCAACATAAAAATCCCTTTGTTCTGTTCATGATTGGAGGATATGTATCCGTTTGTTTTGAATGTTGCTGATTATATATAGTCTTCTCGATCTCTCAAAGAAATATGCCAGTTCTGGAATGAATTATAATGTGAAAGAAATGAAGTTGCAGTACGTTCGTCAGCTTGGAAAGTTATGTTGTCAGAGCTCTTAACTCACAAGCGAGAACGTTATACAAAACGTCAACGATTCCATTCCATCATTTATTCTGGAAGTTCTTCTGGTCATTCAAATTCTTCAGTGCCTTTACCATCAGTACATGTCGGGAGTAGTCTCATTTCGCATATAAATGAGCACAAGGCTGCTGTCAAAAAGTATTTGTTTTTTATTTGAATGATTCATCACAAAAATAAACTCCTTTCGGCATAAGATCTTTATTTGTTGATAATCTTATTTTGAATTTGGAGGGATAGAATATTGCGCATTATTTGTTACTTGAGTTTCCTGGGATGTATTATGGATTTTTTTTAGATTGGCAAAAAATCCAAATGGTTTTTATTTTGCAAGCGCAGCAGCTGATGGTGCAATAAAGTTGTGGTCTTTGAATCGTATACGAGGAGATTTGAGTACAACTGTACGAGCTGATGCTACATTTTCATATGAAGGTATTTTTTGTTCTTCGGTATATTTTGCTTGATTTAATGTGATGTAATACAAGTTTCGACAACATTTATTAGAATCGATTAAAACTACTAATGGGCATGTAGTATATTACTTTAATAAGGCATTAATTGATGAACTATCAAAAGTAGTTAAAATCAGCAGTTGAAAGTGGGAATTTATATCTCCATATGCCACTAAAAGAAGTCCATGGTACTCCATTGGAGTGGCCATGAAAACGATTGTTGCAATTAATAATTTTTTTAGTACTTGTGTGGGATTACAAATGTCAAATTATCTATTGATGATTTAAAACATAAATTTAAGGCCAAAATATCACCTCAATACAGTTTTTGGGACCAACGGGGTCTCATCTAGTTGTTGCCAGCAGAGATGCTCTTGTTAACATCTTGGATGCTGAACGAATGCATATTGCAGCGAAATTTAATTTTGAAAAAGAAGAAGGTCATCCGGTGAATATCATTGCTACTGACAATCTTGTTTATGTCCTTACTCATCACAGTCATATTGTCTGTTTGGATTACAGGTTTGTTAACATTTTTTTTAAAAGAGTAGCATCCCGTTCGTGTATCATGTCCACTTTGTTCATGTTTTTTGAACTTTTTTTCAGGATAGTTTAGTATTCCTTTTTATGAATTTTTTAAGTAGAAGTAGAGGGAAGCTGATCTGACGACTCAAAATTTTCTATAGTCTCAGCTGTCCGAGGAGAATTTCACCGATGTTTGTCAATCACAGTAACGAGTTTGCTGCTTAAAGGATGCCCATATATACGAAGGCTCTTTGGGGGTGTAAGCCGAAAGTCGCATGGCAATATCGAATAAAGAATGAGTATGGTTTGATGACTTCATTTTGTGTTGATCCAGTGAATCAAAACTGGATGTGCCTTACTTCAACAAATCGTTACGCCATTCTCTGGGATCTTAGGTCATTTTTTCTTCTCTCAAATTGGAGCGCTATTGATTTATGTTTTTCACTGTTCCTATACATTTGCAAATCGAAGCTAAATCTATTTTTTGTGACAAGATTTAGTTCCATTCCAAAAAGTTCTTGCTTCTTTTTCGTAAAGCGGATGTATTAAAATATAATAAAAGTGCTAAATATCTGATTCATAAAGACAGTATTTGTAAAATCATAATCATTTTTTCTTAGTTGAAATTGTGCTATTTAATCACTCATTATTCTCGAAAAATAATGAAGTTATCACATATATTCTTTTGATACAGTTTAAAATTAACAAGGAAGTTTTAGCTGTCTGTGCGTATTTTATAATGCGAAATCAAATTTTTTGTGAGAGGTTTCAGTTTTTATAGTTATTTATACAGCTATCCATTCTTTTCTTTAAAGATTTGGGATTGAAGTTAACAGCTGGCCACATCCTAATAAGGTATGTCGTATGTTGCGTTGTTGGCCAGCATATCCGAACGAGCATACTGATGGTTCGTGTGCAGAAATTTGGACAGCATCATCATGTGCTTTCGAACTCTCACGATGGAAACTAGAAACGGCTCAACGTACACATGTGTTGTGGCCTGCATCTGCCATGGGTTTAAAACCTTTTCACTACTCATCAGTACGTTCTGTCAATTGCTTAATTAAACGAACCACTTCAAAGTTTTACTTGATGATTTTATGCATATTTTACTGATTAACTGTCAACTATATTTTATAGTTTTGAAGACCATTAATTGCAGTCATTATTCCATCTTTATGATTCTAAAGTCCATATTTATAGAAGGATAAACATGTAACAGAAGCATTAGTTATATGTCCATTAACCGGTCGCATTTTTACTGGAGATAATGTGGGGGCTATACGCTCGTACAATTTATCAAATCCGAACGAATGCTTCTATCTTTCTGGCCCACTTCGACGAACTTCAGAAACTGTTTCATCTCTAGCCGAACATTTTGCATCTATCCGTTACAACAAATCTACCATTGATACAGTGGAAGTAATAAGTGAAACTGTTACTGGAAAAATCAATGAACCAATTTATTCTGTAAATCCACTGGAAGCTCAGGTTATATATTAATTTTTTTGGTCGCAGACTACGAAAATTGTAAAGTCAATTTTTTAATATATGAGAAGGGATCTTTTTTTTTATTGAATACTTGATTACTTCACGCAATATGTGAAGTCAGCTTTCAGTAAAAATTTGGATTCAAAACTATTTATAAAATGTAATTTATAAAGTTTTAAGCTGACGGTATCCCATAAGAGTTCAATTACCGACTTACTTTGTTGTGGAGAGTATTTGATTTCATCTTGTCGAGATGGGGTGATCAAGGTCTGGAAGTAAGAACGTTTTCATAAAAGTATGGTGAGTTTAGAAAGTGCATATTTTTTTTTTGTCGTAATATTTAATTAATTAGTGGTCATCCTGATTTGAATCATTTTATCTTGGCTTGAAACAAATCGTTCAAATAATAAAATGAATTCGGCCTTGTTTATTGTTAGTGCAGAATTCTGAATAATCTTTGTCACTTGGTAAAGTATCATTGTTAATATATCTGGTTCACTCTCTTAAATAATTTAGAAAGTGAAGCTTCAGATTGACCAAAAAGAGGTGTGCGTTTGTTTTTGGAAATCACTGACCTATGAAGTGATTTAACAATACAAAATCAACCAGCTAAATATTTCTCTGGGTATTACTAAAAATTTTCTACTACATACATGGAAAAAATGGAAATAAGTTGGTTTTTGATAAATAAAATTTGAATAACAGAATAACCAATCTATAGAGCTACAGGAGAAGTTTCTGCTTCCTCACTAGTTATTGTCTGGAAAAATTGGAAACAAAGTTGTTAAGTAATGTGTATTTTTTATTTAGTAATAAAAAATTAGAATAATAATACTGCTTTTCGTACTGATTGTGAAAACTTTTTTACTGATTTACTGTCATTAGTATGTCATATAAGGCAGTTCGACTGTTACGTACTAAAGAAGCGTTTTGTTTTCTTGTTTATATTCAGATCAAAATAATTCAAGAAATAAGTGCTTGTCTTGTTTTTTAATTGTGTTATCTGTCGTGTTAACCCTTTGTTTTTCCAAAAAATATTGTTAAGTAAATGGTTTCATAATAAAATGTGAAGGCTGGAGACCTTTTTCACGAGATTTGATGCCTTAAGAGGCATCAAATACTGAGTCAGACAGTGCTGCGGATAGAGGGTATTTCTGTTCAAAAAATTGCAGAAATATTGTATTGCAAAGTATTTTGTAGCAGGTTGTTGCAAAGTAGTGTGCAGGACTTAATTTTTGGATGTATTTGTCCACAGATGAATATTTAGAAGTCGCTATTTTCTTTGTGAGCTGTTTTGTATTAAACAACATACGCGGACTAACGCATTTCAAGGACGTGATAAAGAAACTTTCTTTGTTGAATATTAAACTATGCTCAAATTGGACGAGAGGCATTTCTATTTCAGTTTCTTGCTTTAGCAATTATCTTCGCAATTTGGGATATTGTTGAATATGTGAAATAGCGGTAATGCTTACAATAAGGGTTGTCCTTACATCTGTTTGCTATGGTAGTATAGGTAGTTGGTGCTAAATCATATATGCGGAGGGATATCTGCTAGATTCTTTTTTATACTTTCAAATTTTTGAAATTATTTTGGGTCAAATTATTTTGGAATGAAACTTACATTTCTATTAATAGTGTCTAATTCTTCTCTTGATTTAGGAACAAATCTTAATTAGTATTCCTGACTACTTGCCATTTCTACGTATGATGATTGCTAGAATACTTTGAAACTAATAAGGCTATGAATACAAAGATTGGCGTTAAGTTACTAATGTTCATCACATACATAATGATTTCTATGTCTTAGCCATAAACTACACTGGTAATTCTTCATGCCATGAGGGAGCTTATTTGTTCTTGTTCTTCATTTCAGCAATCTTATCAGTAATCATCATACTACAAGTTTTTTGTTTCTTGTCATTGCTTTTTAATTCTATAATAAAATGAGAATCTTGGTATTGTAGTAGTAGTGAAGAAATAAAGTGGCAGTTATAGATGCATTGGGGTTATTCAAAATTCTCATTTTCGGTTCTTATGGATGTGGCTTTATTGATTAGTAGTTCTGATATTATAAGGAATTTCAGCTACTCAGATATCTGTAGTTTAAAATGGCATTTGCTTAGCATTAAATTTTTAAAATTTATTTTGTGATTGTGTAATACATATGATTTAGCGTTTCATGGACTGTAGCTTTGAAAGTTATTGTAGTTAGGGAATAAATATTTAGATCGAAAGAAAGTAAATATATATCTTTCATTTAATTTGCTTCCAAGCATAAGATTTTGGGGCTGGTTACATTGGCTGACGAATGAAGAATTCGTTCTGCTTTTAGTGATTATTATTTTGTTTGTCACACTCTTTATAGTAATAGTGATCACTGCTGTTGTAATCCCTGACATTATCTTTTCTAAGATTTACTGATTATAACAGAATGAATATTAGTGTAGCTGAACGTCCTCAGAAGTATGAAGGCTTTTGTGATTTTAAAGTGTCAATATTCATACAGAGATTTCTTGAAAAGAGTGCTATATTCCAGTGGAGGCACTCTTATTTTCAATAAAGTGCTAGATGTAATATGAATTTACAACTGCAGTTTGTATAATAATGATGGAATTTACTACGGCAGTGATGATATTAAAGAAAGTATCGTCAAGATTTCAAAGCTTAATTTTTCTTTGTGTTCGAGCTTTTATTTTTTGGATTATCCCCAGAATTTTTGCATCTTATATTGTTTGAAGTTGCTACTTGAGTTTAAACTGCTCTTGTAGAGGTTTGAAGGTAATGGTGTGGTCAACAGCTGTTACAGTTTTGTTGTGACATCTCGAGCAAAAGAAAATCGAAAAGGAATGTATCTTTGTGGCGTTAAAAAGTCTTTGTTGTGGTGCATCTTTAGAGTCTAATAATAAACTTGGCGGATATAAATTGTTAGGACAAATTTGAAGTTCGCTTGGTTATCAAAGTTCAATGCTTGTTTGCTTGAGAACAATGAGATTTATGTAGGATTGTGAATATGGATGTGACAGATTAGTGGATCTTCAAAGTTATTCTCCAAAAATTGCATGCCCAGTAATTTATGAATTGATGTCTGCAGTACCTCTATCACACGGTCACACATTCTTTGTTAAATTTTATTACTAGGATGGTACGGATTTTGTTAGCTACATTATGTAATTAGTTCATTTTAGTCCTTGAATTTTACTTCTTGAGTCTCATTTTGCAGCTTAAAATCCACCTTGTTTCTTATGTCAAGGATTAACAAAACTTGCATATAGGTAAATTTATCATGCATTGTTCAATCATGCAAATATCAGAGCATGCATAAAATCTGCTGATGTTGTAGCAAAATATTGCAGTCTACGCTTTGAACGGTTTACCTTGGTTTCGCTTACTGAAAATCATGAAGCATTCAACGAAAACTGCACAAAAAATGTTGCATGAAAATGTGACACGTTTTCTTGAAAATGCTAATGGACGTGAAGTAATAATAAATTTGACAGCTCGTCTCATAAAAAAACGTTAGTGTTATCAGTGGTCAATCCGGTCAGTAATTTTTGAGAATTCCTATTAAATAAAGTATGTTAATGCAGAACAATTATATTGACATTAAGCCTCACATTTCATTATTTCTAGTCCTATTACCGGTCATTTCAGAAACTGTTAAGAATTAATTCTGCTTTAAGGCATTACTTCATTAGCTTACAGTTACTCTTTCAGAAAACATGGAGGAAAATCAAATAAAACAAGTCACGACTGTAAGCTAGAAATATTTATGAGTTAGAAAATCAGAAAGTCTGTTTGCCCAAATACATTTGTGCCAGAAAAATCAAAAAATGATGAGCACTATAGTTTTTATTTCATGATGAATGGATATGAATTTCTACCCATTATTTTTTTATAGAAAAAGTGTTTATTCAATTCTATCATCAATTCTGAAAGGTCATGCTTTTCGCCAAATAATTTTATCTTCGAGAAAAAGCATTGAAACACAGTTGTGGTCAATTTCTACATTTAGATGATAAAAGTTGTACCATCAAAACGAACCAGTAATGAAAAATCCGGGGGTGATGCTGACCCGCCACTTAAAAAATCGAGTAGCATTTTGCAGAAAAGCTCTGTCATCGTAAGAATGTTATACCTTGAAGAAATATTTTTATTTTCAAGATACTGCTGATTTGTTATTAAACAGTGTGCTACTTCTTTATTTTAATTACTCCCATCAATATTATTGAATATGTAGTAATTATCGTTGTTGGTATTGATCATTTTTATTTCAAAAATATTTGCCATCTTTGACTAATAACTTTTCGTCATTCTTTTTTATTCATATTTTACTCGTATGATTTTAACATTCCAATATAATTCACGTATCACAGCTCTATTAATATGGTGAAGAAATCTGCTAAGAAATGTTTCTAAAATTCCTAATCATTCAGTAAATTGAAATTTGAAGGGAAATTATAGGATTGGTATGGAACAGAAACTTATAGACATCATTATGGTGAAGAATGAAGCTCGAATCCAGTGAAAATTATGCTGTTTTCATCATGTAGAATTTGTTATGTGAAAAATATATACAAACTAACTAAAGTTGAATGTTCTGTGAACATTTAAATTAGAATCACTTATTCATCAATGTATTTGCAAATTTGAAACCGAAATTTTCGAATGGGACTTAGATTGGAGAAAAGGGTCGGAATTGGGAAATCGAGCGCGAAGGTCATCTAGATAAGTAAAGCAGCAGTTAAAAGATCACAAAAAATTAGTAACTACAAATTTATTATTCAGTTCTCTCGCATAACAAAGTTAAGTTATAAGTCAGCTACACAAATTTTTTCAAGGAAATTTTGAAGATTTTCATTTTCTCAAAAATGACTTAATTGATTGTTAAAATCATTAGAAATTGAATGCATATGGTAATTTACGTTACTGTCATATTTTTGTAAGATAAGGCCAGAATGGTCTGATTTATTTATATTCCGGACCTGAATTAGGTGTATTTGAAACTATATATTTTAGAACAATAAGGTAGGTGATTACTGTTGATGACTTCCATCAGCTTGCTTTGCTTGATAAAGAAATTAGTTTTTCAATTAATCGTGATATCGTGCCATTTAAACTTTTCTCTGAGCTTTTTGATCGTATTTTCGTTGAAGAAAATTCCTTGTGCAAACATTTCTTAGTATATACTTTTTTTTAAATGTAAGACTATTTAATACTGAACAACACCAATATTTGCTTATCACAGTATAACTTGGTGCATGCGGTTTGTTGATTAACCATGTAGAAAACTTGTAATTGCTGAAGATGGTGATGAGAAAGCAATATATGATACAGTATCAGATAATACATTATTTTGAGTTTTAGACAAACCAAATCTTTGGCATCTACGTTTATTTTTGCCTTGTGATGTTTTCTCATAGCATTTTTAACACTGAGATTGCTGGCTAGAAAATTTCTTATGGAAATGTAAATATACACTTATGTTTTGAATCAAACAAAAAAGTAATAGCAACTTGTTAATAAGTTTCAACAGAAAATCTTTTTCAAATTGACAAATTACAAATTTATGTTCATTCGATACTGCTGCCAATTCTAATAGTTTTGCTTGATTTTTATCTTCCATTTTTGTTACTTAATTTTGCTTTCATTGATGGAGTCTTGAATTAGCATCACAATTAAGCCAAATGCAAAATGAATTTATCAAAAATTAAGTTAATGTATATTGTTCAAAGTATTGAAAAGTAGATAGAAATTTTATTTCAAGAAAAAATAGATATATGAGTGGGTAAAAACAAATGAAGTTTTTAAAACTGAAAACAAATTGATCATATTTTAAATTCTTAAAAATTTTGCGCCAAAAATTTCTCAGAAATTATTTTAAGTGCACTTTGCGCCCTCATAGAGTTTATCTAAATTTCTTCACCTAGCACAACTATTATTACTCCGTACTGCAATTGTCTGAATGGATCAAAAATTCAGGAGAAATGGGTCCAGTTACAAAAATAGAATATGCAAATTATACATGTGAGTGGCAATAATTATTCATCGTTTGTCAGTTTACTTCCAGCGAAAGGTGCCTAACAGTTTAGTTTACTTTGACAGAATTTCACAGATGTAAGTATAAACTGATTTATATGCGCCAAGTATAACAATTTGGCTTCTTAAACAACCAGATCAAGCATACACTGTAGACAGAGTAGTTGTTGAAATTTGAATTCTCAAACAAGATATCGGAAGTAAGCAAAACGTCGAAAGAGAAAAAAATCAAAAATTATTGATTTTGAAGGAAAACAATTTAATTTAGCGACTTTCTAGCATTATTTTGCAAAGTTACACAAAATGAAAGAAAAGTCTAGAAACTATAAATAATGACTTGAATAAGTCATATAGGATGAGGGAAATACCTCTTTTTCGAAGAGAAACCCAAAATATTTCGACATTACAAGTATCTTAAGAAATGAATGAAGTGCATAGAAAGACAATGTACAAACTGGCACTGGCGTTGTGGAAGGGAAATGTGTCTTCTGAAAAACACATTAAATCACACAAATATTCAACTCTCTCATGACTTTTTCAGAAGTAGCACTGAAAATCTTTCTCCAGTCCAAATACTTTCTCAAAACTTGTTGAGTGTCAAATTCGCAAATTCATTATCAATTTTAGGTTTCAATATAGCACAAAATATTTCGAATTGTCAACAGCTCTTGAACAAACAAAATTTGAATGAGTTCAAATTTTCTTTAATAAAATTTTCCAGTCTCTTTAATAAACTGAAAAATCAACAAAATACTGATAAAAGTGGTCTTTTAAGTGCAGTGAATGTATAAAAAAGGACTTTTATAGTATTTTTAGATTTAAAATACTATCAAAATTATATTTTTAAAATTTCGATGAAAGTAGGCAAATAGCTTGAAAACTGAAAATAAATAATTCAGAAAAGCATCATATCATAGAATTTTTTTGGATGAAATTGATAAGAGTAATAAAGGTAAAACGCATATATTTTAGGGCATACAGTAATATCGAAAATGTGATCATTTTTCACGGCTTCGCTCGTATAACCAACCCTTTATTGCTTACTTATTCTTCTTTCTTCTCGTCAGTAAACAAACCAATAATTCATTTATATTTCTCTGTGATTAGCACGCATTCTGATCTTTTATCACAAATTGCAGCTATAAGGCTCATTTAAATTAAATAGCAAACTAAATGATTGCTCTAATCTTCGTATACATCATTTGTTGACTGCTTCAGAATGTCAAATAGCACTATCAGTTTCTCAACGTTCAATCTTCTGCGTTCTTTTTTTTCATCTCAATTTGCATTTCCCCGCGCAACAAATATTTTGCGATTTTTTTGAAACCTTTTTACTAAATGAAAAAATTGTGTAATGGGAAAACAGTGTTGTTTTACAGGAAATAATTTTGTAGCTGAAGAAAGTCCTACTTGCTAATTATCATGCTATAATTTGAATCTCCATATGAAGTAAAAATAAGCATTTATTTTTCACAACTAAAAACAATGACTAAAACAACCAATTTGAAAAGTTCAACACAAAATTTATTTTGATTGTTACTTATATTGGCTTTCATTGTGAAATTTCTATACCTTAACTACGACATTTGATAAAAATTTTGCCCTTTTTGATATTTCCACAACTGATTTATCAAATATTATTTATGACAAAAGTTGAAATCATTTATACTGAACGAAAAGCTTAGGTCCAGCGACGCAAAGATTTCTATAATTATTCTCAAAATAATCTCCATTAATTCATGGAACTAAAGATAGTTTCATATTATTCTAAAATATCCTTTTCATAAAAATCTGATCAGACTAATGTTAATCCGTGTACAGCTACTATGTTTACTCGAAATCGATTTGAAACTTTAAGTTTCCAATAAAGCGTAACTGTGCATATCATGCTGGTCAGGGCATAATCCAGAAAATTAGTATACTCTTTACATAATTCTTAGATGAGATGAAAAAGTTTCGTACAGGGACTTCTTTTATAAGTGAGCGTTCTAAAGTTTGGTATACATGGAAAAGTGATTCTTACTTATTTATATAGTACTTTCAGGATAGAGTGCATTGAGTGTTGTTCCTGAAATGTTCAGGTTAGAAAAATGAGATTGAGTAGTATTATGAAATGTGCAACAGTAGCATTTTGCAGTTATGATAGCAGCTTAGTTTTGTTGTGTTCAGTGAATTATTAACATTTCTTCATCGTGTAAAATTGTAACTGCTTAGTAGATTTGAGTTCATTTAATACTCCTATATCCCTATTATTAATTTGATTTTTAGTGTCTCGTTGTTAATATGATGCACTGATGTTCAAGAATGTTACTCGTCTGTGCGAAAATTTTACGGCCGCTCGGAACTCTTGCAAGTTTTCATTGCACTTCCTCCAAATTGCCATCCTTCTTTTCTGTACGGAAAAAATGGTTGTGGGGGAAAGTTAGTTTTTTGATATTTATATATATTCTGATCAGTGAATCATCTATCGATTTATCACATATAATTCGAAATACTTCAAGTGGCAAGCACAAATTTTTGCTTTTTTTTAGGATGCTGAAGGTCCAGAAATAGCTGTTGGTCCAAAATCTGGAGCAGATGATGATCCCATAACAAATGCACCGGATAAACCATACCTTGGGGAACCAGATGAACCTAAGTTGCATATGTGTGTGAAAGGCTCACGTAGCCAACATAATTGAAGTTCTTAGGGATTTTCTGTTCTAGTTATTAAGGAAATATTGCAATTTAAAAATGATATTTATGCAACTTATGTAGAGAGCGAGTTTTACTCTTTTCTTTTTTGAAATTTTTATTGTTGAATTGCTTACTACAATTTGCTCCTAATGAACTTATTTTACAGGTGGTACTATCGGGAAGCACCTCCTCAAAGTACCACTCGACTAGAAAAGAGACTGATAACACTAATTAGCGCTTTGTTGTGGGGTTGGTTCGTATACCATATTTATTACAATTACGGAGAGCTGATTGTTAGTCCTTGTATTTTCTAGTATATTCATTTTTTTTAAATGGCTAGAATAAGGCACTGCAAATTTTTTTGGAAATTTCTTTTTCATTACTTCTGCGTATCTCATAGTTTTTTTCATATCAGTAATGAAAAACAAAAGTGGTTGCAAGACTTTTTGCATTAGAGAATTATTAGCAATGAGTATCAAAAATCTGTTGCTGTTTTGTAGTGATATTGAACAGAAACTGATTTAATGCATAACTCTTGGTATTAAATCAATTAATATTCAGTCACGACGATAACATTAACAGTTTTTAATGGCTAATAATCACGTGCTTAAAAATTTTTCATTTTATGCTATTAGTAAATCCACATTTCAGGGTGAATATTATATTCCGTCATTAGAAGAGTTTTCGGATGAAGAACTGGGTATTCCACCGGATGATGCACCAGATCCAGAATATTGGGGGGACCATTCATTATCTAGAGGCATGTAATGAATTTCAAAGTCATGATAACTATCTTTGTGCATACTTAGTCAAATTCAAGTTTCTTTGAACTTTTCCAGTTCAGATATTCAGTACTCTCATGGAATAGCAGTTATCTCTAACCGCTAAGTAAATATTTTCGTTGCTTTTGAAATAAATTTACTTCACCATCTACATGCATTTAGATGTTAAACATTTGGTAATATCAAATGTTACGAGTGATATCTTTTTTTCTGTTATCAATTGCTTGTATTATTTTTTGACTTCACTAGAATTTTTGAGATATTTTTTAACGAAATGAAAAAAATCTGATGTCGGAATGTTTATCTTGAATTATTATTTACTGTTTGCTAATTCATGATATTCGCGTGATGAAAGGAAAATTCCTCATTTATTTCGTAATCGCAGTATATTTGCTCAATAGTAAAATTATGGTCTGACTGATTGGTGAAGCTACTTAATGATTAGTTAAAAGTGTGTAATATATAAAGTACCACAACTGACTCGATCAATTACATATCTAGAAGTTTTTACTTATCACAAGGTTAAATTATGTCAAAATTCTCTAGATTCGTTTGCACTTACAAGGAACTATGAAGTTTCACGAAAAATTACTTTACGAATATCACTGCAATTCTTAGAATTTCACAAGGGGAAGCAGATTTGTGGTGCGACTCATTTAAAGCTTCTTGGTAGATACGGATATTTGGTTTCTCGATACTGACTTTTGGCTCCAGATTTCTAGAAAGAACTGAATGGTCATGGATTGGGCCTGAACCTTCGTGGTCTCTATACGCTACTACTGAAGCATTTAAATTAAACAAAACTTTGTGGTGTTTAAAGCACTAAATCCGGGAATGAAGTTACCACTGTTTACTTTTTTTATTTAGCACTGCAAAAGAATTGAATGTTGAATTTGTCCTATCACTATGTTGCTTCTGGCCTTAAAACTGGAGCTTTTCACGGGCAATACACATCAAGTTATAGTCGTCTTTTCGTAGTGATTCCAGTTTGTGGACACAAAGTCTGCGAGTTTTGTTCAAAATCTTTCAACCTTTGCTTGCAAACCATTTTGTCAGGAAATATTTGTTATATCGCTTTTTTACCAGCCATTTATTGTAATTGCTGTAAAGTAGCATTTTGTAAGAGATTGAAGTTTTTGAAATATTTGATTTGCAGAAAGTACAAATAACAGTTTTCAATCTGATTTTTTATTACCAACGTTTGAAATTTCAGAGAACAATTAGCTTTAAAAGTTGCAAAGTTATTTTTATTCATTGATAGCATAATTTTCTAAAATGCTAGAAATACTCGAAGCTATCGAACTATGTAGAATCAGCGGTTATGTATTTTATTAAAAAAGTATATTTTTAATATTTTGAGTTACCTTCATCAGTAAATGATTTGCTTCATATAATGTTATATTTTACCTATCAATACAGGCGTACTTCTGCAAGTTTTAAGGTTCTAGTTATGTGACCACACTGGTAATGACTGCCCTAATGTGAATCAGGACAGATCAAACAACCCTTATGTGGATTTTTAGAGTGAGTTTATATCATGTAGATATCTACTTATTATTTGATTAAATCCCAGTACAATTAGTAGTAAAATGGAGTTAATTAGTACACTCTGAAAAGACTTACAGGTGGATCAGTGGTAGTGAATTTCTGGTAGAACAATAATCTAAAATACGGAGAGCTACACGACAGAACAATTCAATTGTTATCTTGCTATTATAATACTTATTATTGTTGCAACTGTTTGTTTACTCTGGTCTGGATCATCGCATGAATAAAATGATGGCATCAAATAAACTGCAGACTGCAATCCAACTTTTATCCTTTATTTATTTCGTATTTCAATATTTAAATAAACTCATACTTATCTATTGTACAACACTGCAACAATTTCAATTTTGTGGTTCATTTCCATATATAGAGTACAAAAATGGTTTACCTTTTGCCTGAAATATTATGTGAGATTGGATTAATTGGAGTTAGGATCGATTAGATGTTTCAGAATATCTGTAATTACAACATAAATGGAATACTATTTTGGCATAAATGCAATATTAACTTGGCCATCCACTGACTTCGTATTTCACTCGACATTTCGACTACACACTACAATTAGTCTAATTAATTTTTTAAAATAATAAGCATTTAAACTTAATACATCTGTTACTTCAGCTATAAGATATTCTTATCACAAAGTATTTAGTAACTATTGTATTGTTCTGTTTACGAATAATATTTAATGCTAGATAATATCATTTATGATCGACTTTGTATAAATCATAAATTTGCTGCAAACAAATGCATTAATATTAAGAGTAAAGAAATAAAACTTTTAACAATTTCGTTTGATTTACCGTTTTTCATCAAGAAAGTACGGAATTCTTTTATCTTGTTCTTTTTTTAAATAAGATTTTGATCCAAAATTCATAATTTTGTTTTTCAAAACAACACATAAAGTTACAGTAAATTTATTTCTTTATAATGAAATTGAGATAGTTTTTTTCCTCACAAGTGAAAGTGAAATAAGTAAGCACTCGAGAGCTTTTGATATTTTTAGAATGAAAAATGAAACTTCTTGAGCAACACTAACTGTAGACAGAAAAATGGCAAACTTTGTTGTGAACAGCTTTCAAAATAACGGTTTTAGAGCCAAGTCTGTTTCATTTTAGACAATTGAGACATGTACTGCAAATTTGATATTTTTTGTCTACTGTTTGTACTTCATAATCACCATTAACTTTTGAACATTATAATTATCTTTGTAATTTTTGCTAGTGGCGAGTGACATGACTTATAATAGCTGAGTACGAATATTAGAGATGTGAATAGATGCAATCAAATTATGATGGCTAAAATAACAGCAGCTGCAATTATATTTCGCGATTTCCTAGTAAATTCAAGTTAGACTTTGTTGCAGTGATTTTTGTTTTAAAAACCTTTGATTAACTTGATCGGCAATGAAAGTAAATTTGTTTGCTGAGGTCAAATTGCGTAAAATTCACTATGCTTCCTTCATCCAGCTAATATTAAGTTTGAAAAACAATAAAAGTGTTGCTTTGTCACTAGTTCTGTCTGATAATTACTTCTAACCAAAAATTTTTCAATTAAATAAAAACTTTATTGTAAGCAGAAATTAAAATATTAGCTAAAATTTTTATGAATCCCTCATAGACGGACCTCGGCCAGTAAAAAATTTGGAGGTAAAGACCTAAAAAAGGCCAAGAAGCGTGTGAGGGAAATGAATCATACTTGCTCTTAACCATGACTGTCATGAAACTTTGAACATACTAACAGAACGTGTGACAGTTAATGAAAGTAAAATAAAAAGTAATGATCCCCCATGCGCATTCAAATCCAAAACGCCAGATTTGAGCTGTAAAGAAGACGGTTTTATAGAAAACTAACGAAGGAGCCTGTTAGCTACAATGTAAGGACAGAACAGTCAGAAAGTTCTGGGCCTGATGTGGATTTGAAAATGAGAGATGATGATAATCAACTTTTAGGAGGTGACAAGGTCTGATGGAGTCCATAACATCTACATTAAGAAGTGCACCTTCTTACATCCAGATCAATTCAAAATAACTAAATAACTAGGCGGATTTGGTTAGATGGGGAGGAACAGGACCCATTGTTCTACAAAGGCACGACGTATCTGATTCTTAAAAACGTTCCAAACAAAACTAATGACCTCAGCCTAATAACTTGTATGTTGAAACTATGCAAGTAACAACGAAATGTGTGGTACGTGTCATGCAGTTAGATGTTGCCATGAGGAAGCTGTTTGCAGACAATCAATTAGAGACTTTTACCCAGGTTCAGGGTGCGAAGGAACAAGCAATGTTGAACCTGGCGGTTGCAAAGAGCACGGGAACCAGCTTTACACTACGTGGTATGACATTAAAAAGGCGTTCGATTCAGTTAATCACGGATACCTGATTATGTGCAATGAAAGGCTTAACGTGCCATCGTGGACCAGCAGGTTTCTAAAAAGCATCACCTCCAGATGGTCGGTTACATTGAAAAGCAATTGAGAAACTATTATGGAGAAGAAAATAGAACGAGGAATTCTCTAAGGTGATAGCCTTTCTCCGCTGCTATTTGTCCTGTGTATGGATCCGTTGAGTCGTCGACTTAATATAAGGTACCCAAAAGTGGCGGTTCCAACTGATCAAGGAATGCACATTACGAATCATTTGTTGTTTGAGGATGATCTCAAGATCTCCGCGACCGATAAGGATATCATGAAATCTATGGCAGAAGAAGCTGAGAAGTTTCTTGTTGTGGTAGAACTAGAAGTAACTCCAGCAAAGTCAGCCTCTAACACCGAGGTATGCACTGATAAAGTGGCGCTATTGAAAGGAACTCAAGGCTATAAATACCTTGGAATAGTAGAAGACAGGACTACTGCATGTAGATGTGAAAGCTACCATAAAGTTTGAACAGAGATTTTAGTGAAAATGGAGCGATTAGCCAAAACTGCACAAAATGGCAAGAACTCTATCAAGGCTGTGAATGAGTACG